CAGAGTAGGGGCCTGACCTGATCTTTTTGTACAACCCTCTCATGAGAACGAATTCAGAGTCTTGTGGAGGTCTCTTAGTCCCTTCCAACAACAGCACCGGCAGTGGCCCAACCAGCACCCACTAGGTTCTTCCTCTTAAAGGTCCTACCACCTCTTATATTACCACACCGGGGACCACGCTTGCATCACACGAACCCTTGGGGAAACTCAGACTGTATCCACAGTTATCATTTTTTGTTGTGACAATGGCATTTTATTTATTTAGATTTTTTTTTTTTTTTTAGTTTTAGGTGGACACAATGCCTTTATTTTTATGCCGTGCTGAGCTCAGCTCGAACCCAGTGCCTCACACATGCTAGGCGAGCACTCTACCACTGAGCCACAGCCCCAGCCTGACAATGGCATTTTAAAAATAAGAGATTTCAATCATTTATGGGTTGAGAACAGTATCAGTGATTTAATTACTCAATGTTTACAGAAAGCAAGTTGAGGTCTACAAAATTAGATGGTCCACATTGTGATGTTGCAAAATTGGTTATAAAAAATTTAATGTGAATCCTACAGTTTTGAAATTGGTTGAGAAGATGTAATGGAATTTTCTTTTGTATGTGAAGAAAGTAAAAATGATAAATATAAACCTGTAATTTTTGGTGGGGAGAGAGCTTACTCTCAAAAATAAAAAGGTTGTAGCACTAACTGAAATGCAGAAAGCTGTTCAAAGAGACACATTTCTGTTTTCAAGTTGGTGATGGGATAACTTTAAGATAATTTGAAGGAAAGTGTTTGGTCTTAGTATTAACAACCTTCTCATTATTCTTCTTATTGAGTCATAAAAATTTCGGTGGCTGAAAAATTTTGTATAAAAATATCCTGGTGATACTACTGACATACTTGAAAAAAAAATCAACCAATGTTTCATTTATAATTGCCATGGTTAAACATTTTATTCACTTTACAGTGTTTGTTTCATTAAACCTTCATTTTATTATTAATTTTATCTGATGATTTATAATGCTAACAGAATGACTGTATTAGTTATGCTAATTAGAAGAGCATTCCAAGCCCAGTTTTGTAAAATATTGGCGTAATACTATGCAAACATAAAATGAACATTCATTTTATTCTAGGCCTATAATTACCATTCCAGGCAGAAGAACTGCATTGTGAAGTCCTGGCAGTGAGCAGCAGCGTGGTTGGGGAATTCACATAGTCTGGTACTGCTGGAGGTGGGCAGGCTGTGAGATGTGAACTAATCGGGTGAATCGTTTGCTGCACAGCCCGCTACTAGCTCCTGATTGTTCTGGATTTGATCTCCTCCTTGGGAGCTCATTAATTTATATATGAAAGTGCTCATCCGCTCTGGGCTTCCCTTTCCTCCTTTGTAGCTGAGAACAACACTGGTACCTGATGCCCAGGCCACAGGATCAGCATGCGTTTAAAGGAGAGCAATCTCTGCACAGGGGAGAAGTTCCCTGCTCCTCTCTGGTCTTTTGCTCTACCACGAACTGCCTCTCAATTTACTCTGCTTTCCAGTAATCTTCCACAAAGAGGTTTTTCTCCTCCCAGACTCAATCCGAATGCTTCCCAGGTCCAGCATGGCCCCTTGCTTCCTGTGGGGGTTCCCAGCATTCCCCTCCTGGAATCCAGTGCTCATGGCTGATGTTACAGGAGAACTTCAGGAAAACCGCTTTCTTATCTGGATGTTTTCTTAAATAATCTCAATTAGATGTTTTCTGTCTCTTGGGAAAGTGATAGGTTAATACCCTATGAGGATCTGTGTGTTTCTTTCTAGAAAACAGACCATCCCAAGAAGGGATAAAACATGTAAAAGTTGCAAATCCTTGTAAAATCATTTGCCACTTCACCTATTTAATTCAAGTCTCTCACAACCTGCCTACTACCTGGTAAAAGCCTCTGTTTAGAAATCTTGCTTGCTTTTTTTTTTTTTTTTGGTACCAGGGATTGAACTCAGGGGCACTTTACCACAGAGCCATATCCCCAGCCCCATTTTGTATTTTATTTAGATATGAGTCTCACTGAGTTGCTTAGCGCCTCACTTTTGCTGAGGCTGGCTTTGAACTCGCGATCCTCTTGTCTCAGCCTCCTGAGCCACTGGGATTACAGGCATGCACCACCACACCCAGCATTTGATTTTTTAAAAACTATGTTAAAAAATAGAAAATACCTCCATCCCACCCTTATAGGGTCGCAGGTGAACGTAAGAGCATTCTGATTAGATGTCAGCACTGGGCTATTACTTCAGCCCAGAGGGACTCAATGTGGGGAGAATATTTCCCCATTTGGAATGGCCTCAGCCGTGTTAGCAGTGTCTGGCCTGTACGTAAGGTCTTTCTCCCCAGCAGTCCAGGGACCCAAACCATTCAGCTGATGGAAGACTTCCAACTTTAGGCAGGAGGCAGTAATAATGGTGATATTTGGGTAGTTCTTGCACCCGCCCCTTTTAGAAGGTGCTGTGGACAGATGTGTTCCTCCAATTTATTTGTTGAAAACTTAATGATCAACAATGTTGGGAGGCGTGCCCTTTGGGGAGGTGTTTAGGTCACAAGGAGCCCTCGTGAATGGATTAGTGACACTGTACCAAGGTGCGTGGGAGTGGAGTCACTCTTCTTGCTCTTCTGCCTCCTACACTGTGAGGGACCAGCAAGAAAGCCTGCATCTGAATGCTAGGCCCTGATAGTGGACTTCTCAGTTTCCACTGGGAGGAAACACCTTCTGTTCATTATAAATGACCAGTGTGTGGCATTCTGTGACCGACTAAGACAGGAATAAAGACATAATAAAATTCTTGGGTGAGTTTCTGGTAGTATTTTAATCTTTCTCACTTGATATTAAAAAAAAAATGTTGTGCCAAAAAGTGGAGGTGATTCCTATTTTGGCTGATCCTCATGTAGTTCATTTTATCTCCTTTGGATTTCTTATAAACTCTATTATCCTTTCTGGTTATGACAGTTCATCACTTGGTCTAAAATAGTCCCATGAGTATGGGAATGTGGCAAATCAGGAGTCAAGAAACTTCCGGAACCGGAGGCAAATATTTGGGTGTTGTTTCCTGCCCCTTATAAACCTTCCATCTGACAATAGCCTTGGGTTTTAATCTTGCTTTGGTTAGTGTGGCCCTGGGGAAGGTATGGACTCTCTGACTTTGGCTTTGTACTGGGCCCTTTGATGGGCTGATACTACCCACACCTCACAGTGTTATGGATTAAGTGAAAGAAGAGTGACTGGCACTCAATAGAGTCAACACATGGTTCATCCTGCGGCTTAGTTCTTCTTGTGGTGTATAGTATATAGTCAAGGGAGTTGTGTGTCCTTATCCAGGTCAATGTAATGGATTGTTATGCTTTCATGTTGCCTCAGCCTTCACTGTGAACCTACGTTTAACTTTCTGGTACCAGAAGCAGGGTTCATTCACTTTCCACACCAGCTCCACATCCAAATGGCTTGAGCTGGAGGCCAGAGTAAGAACTTAGATGCGTCTCTCCTGTCTAGCACAGTGCGCTCCCCACTCTCACTGTGTCTTTTCAGTGAACCGCCCAGCATTTGCCCACAAATGTGAAGTTTCGTCCTGTGTCCCTATATACTCTCTCTCTGCCTCTTTATTCCTGCCTTGCGTGACTTGGGCACAGAGGGCTGTCCTCTGACTCATTACACCCTTCTTGCCAGAGCCTGAGAGTCAGAGTCCTGAATATGTGCCCCAACGTGGAGGTGTGTTGATCTTGCTCCTTCCATCTGAGGAAACTGGGGCTTCCCTGGAGTTTTCCTGGGGCCACTGAGGAGGATGCGAGGTCAGGGTCCTAGTGCCAGAGTGATGGTCAGGCAGGCATAGGCTGAAACGTCACACAAGAGCCACAGGACATATGCCAGTGTAAACACGCTTCAGGTGTGAGGGACTCTGGGTCATGGATTGGTCACGGCTTTAGGCTGTCCACCAGGGAAAGCAGTGTCCTGTGAAAGGCACACCAGCCTTCGGTTCCTCGTCATTTCCTGCTGGGGCCTGGTTGCCAGTTGCTCTGCTGCTGGGGGCTCTCAAAACAGTAAGTTAAAACAGTGAACTTTTATTTTCAAAAACAAACAGTCTGAAAAAGTCGTAAGGAAGCACCCCCTTTACAATTCATTCCTCCTGGTGGTCACCTCCGTAGGACTTAAGAAATCACTTTCTAATTTAGTAAGTCATAATTTTAGCTTTAATACAAATTATTTATTTCTAAACCAAAGCACACACAGTTGTGGCAATTTGTGTGACGCTGTTATCAGTAGTGCTAGAGTACTTTGAATTCTATGAAAATTCCTTAACTTAGGAGATTCAGTTCTTCCAAATAGACAATTACTGGGGAAGTTATCTTCTTCAGACGCTGTGTCAGAGCTCAGGCCTCAGGCTGCCTGTGTCAGTGCCTTGTGTCCATCGTTTACGGGTTGTGTCCCTCTGACAAGTCTCTTAACTTCTCTGGACTTTAGTTTCCTTATCTGTAAGAAGAGAATTACAATAATTCTGACACCATCAAATTTTTATGAAATTCAATGAGTTCACCATATGTAAAGTACTTAGTACCTGGCCCATAGTAATTGTTTAATACGTGTGATTATGATATTCTACTGCAAAAAAGAATAGCCTAAAATATACAGATGTGCTTTGACTTATGATGGAGTCATGACCAATAGACTTATTGTAAAATACCGTATAAGGAGAAGGCATTTAACATATTCGACCTATTCACAGCTCATCAACAGCGTACACCGGAGAGTGCCTGGTTGCAGGCTGCTGGGAGCTGGGGCTCACTGTTGCTTTCCAGCATCACAAGAGTATTGGATGCCCATTGCTAGCCTTGGGAAAGATCATAGATCAAAATTCCAAGTATGGTTTCCACTGAACAAATACAGCTTTCCCGCCATCTTAAAGTCAAAACATCGTGTCAAACCATCCTAAGTTGGGGACTTGTCCATAGTCTGTTTGACCTGACCATCTTCATTCTGTCTGACAGGGTACACACTGCTACACTGTGCTGCAGCCTGGGGTCGTCTGGAAACTTTGAAAGCACTAGTGGAGCTGGATGTTGACATAGAAGCTTTAAACTACAACGACGAAAGAGCTCGGGATGTTGCTGCTCGGTATTCCCAGACTGAGTGTGTTGAGTTTCTGGACCTGGCAGGTGAGGAAGCTCCACAGTGGAAACAGATTGATCTGATGGATGGGGACAGTTAGCATCTTCACCCTCCATCTGGATGTTTTATTGTAGGTACCTCCACAGTAACTTTTGGCAATAACATGAAATCTTTTCTGTTTCACTATTGGCCTAACCTATTGCACTTAGTAGGAGCTGTATGTATTGGAAATTGTGGACTTACCAGCTGATAACGATTTAACAACTTATTTTCTATAAGCCTATGCATACAACATGTTCAAGGCTGTTTTCTTACTCAGGCAAAGTAGATGATTCCTTAATTGTTTAAAGATTAGCATATTTTAATAATATGTTCAATTTCCCAGATAAAAAATTTTATAATTAAGAAAATATTTGTTTGGGTAAAGTTGATCTATGGTGTTAGTAATCAGAATAATAGTTACCCTGAGGGCATGGAGGATTTCTGGGATGTAGTGTCTTTTTCTTAATTTGGATGCAGGTTGTGAAAATTTATTGAGCTGTATACTTATAATTTGTCACTTTTTTGTTTGCGTATTACAGACTTCAATACAAAGTTCAGAAAGCTACGTGCTACGGCCATATAGATATAGCTGAAAGAAGTTTTAGGAAAATATGCCCGCATAACTTCGTATGTGTGCAAACATCGGCTTAAAAACCTAGTACTTGTGGAACCCACAGCACGCATTTTGCCCTGCATTCAGGTTTTTAGCAAGCATTTATTCAATGCGCACTATTGCATATGCAGTCTTCTTGTGGGTACAACTGGTTCCCGCTTCTGGATATTTGTTGGATAAACACAGCCAACGGCTACGTAACTACAGCAGGAAGATCATGATGAGGGCGGGCAGAGCAGGTAGTCCATGCCATGGGGCTGTCGGACAGGATGAGGTCAACCTATTGGGGCTGAGCTGGGCCTTGGGGGATGGGTGGGATTTGAAGGCACAATAAAAGGGAAGGAGCATGAGCAAAGACGACTCGGAATGAAGGTGGCGTGTGGGGGTCAGGGGGAAGGTCGCTTTACTGGAGCAGCCGGTCATAGTTGGCACAGGTAGGCTGTAGCACAGGTAGAATAACGGAAGGGTTAACTACAAGGCCTCTGGAGTCTCCACCCAGAACCTCCGTGACCTTGGACAAGTTACTTCAGTTCTCTATACCTCAGTTTCCCTTTCTGAAAAAGGGGCAAGGGCAGTGTTTTCTCGAGGGTTTGAGAGTGAAATGAGGTGGTGCAGAGCACCGAGCACAATACCTGTCATGTGGTCAACGCTTGGAAAATGCTGCTGCCGCAACCACAGCCAGAGCATACCCTGAGTGCCAGGCCAAGCTGCTCTCATTAGGTTCTGGGAGCACTTTAGTAAGTATGGATTCTGTCTTAGTTGAATGGAAATCCAGACATCTTTGGTTTCAGCAATAATTGTGGCAAAAAAAAAAAAAAAAAAAAAGGTTGAGGCTCCTAAAGAACCTTAGATAAGTTCCTCTCAACAGATTCCTTTGCAATCTCCATATTTGACTGAACTACATTTGCATGTGTGCGTGTTTAGTGTCCTCTGGCTCCTCCTCCTCCTCCTCCTCCTCCTCCTCCTCCTCCTCCTCCTCCTCCTCCCTTCATCTTTAATTCGCGGTGCTTAACTTTCTTAGAGGAAGAATGGTGGGACACCTGCTTCAGGTACTTGGTCATCATTGACGTGGTCGCCAGCAGTCTGCAGAGTATTTGGTCAATGTCATAGATGGATGGGCTTTCTAGAGCATTGCCAGATTTATCTAAGGAGGCTTGCTTTTTCAGCTGAAAGGAGAGAAGCGAATGACATAGATTGCATCTTAGTTTGAATTTAATTCATATTCTGAACATATAAGCTTAAATTCTATTAAAATACACAATCCATTATTTACGTAAAAGAAAACTTACTCTAGAAGAAAAGTATAAATGCAGAAGAAATGCTCATTTATATACACACACGGTATCGGACTAGCATGACCTCGATCACTGTCAGCCTGTAACTAGTGCTGTCTGTGTTAGAGCACTCTGCTGGGAGGAATTATTTCAATATTAGCAGAATGTTTTCCTTCCTAAACATGCAAGACCATAAAATCAAAGGCATTTTTAAAATAGGGTAACACTTGTAGATGTCTAAGTTTTCCTGAAGATCAGGGGGTTCTCTGGTTGGTGTCTGTTGTCTGGGCTTGGCCAGTGAGTCTTTAAGATTGTCTCAAACTGTGGTGTCATCTGCTGGCAAAGCAGTGAATTAATTAAGGAGCTCTGTTCCCCAGAAAGCCATCCTAACATTAGAAATGAGTTTACAGTCCATTTTAAAAGTACATGCCGACTTTCTTACTTAGCTTTTTATATAGATCACTGTCATCCAAGAGATCTGTTGTTCCAGACCCTTGGTTTTACAGGGCAGCCAGGGAGGAGCGAACAGAGCCCAGACAGACGGTGCCCCTTTCTCCCGTGGTGACACCCTGTGTTTCTGCTGTGCTTTGAGACTTGAAACAGAAGGGCTGGGCCAGGTGATTTTAAGGCCCTTCTATTCATTACACACTTGTTGAGCACCTGGTACCAGCAAGTCACTCTGCAGGATGCTGGGGAGGAGCGGGAGGGGCAGGTGGCAAAAAGGAATAACCCTTCTTCACAGAAATGGCTGACCTTATGTTCTAAACTCTGAGATGCTGTGACTGTTACCATTTATATCATGAATTCACCTTTTTTTGGTGTTTCTTCCATTTTATCCACAGATAATGCCCAGATAAGACGGACAGGATTACAATGAGAGCTTGTGCTATGATGTAAATGAGGTGCAAACAACTCTGAAGTAGATCCATGTTAGCGAAGCTGCAGCACAGTCTGTCCAGAGGGTAGGGTAGACAGTGAGAGGGAGAAGGCTTAACTTTCAGATAGTGCACTTCTTCTGGAAAAATCTCCCATCCAACCTTTGTCCAGATTGTTCCATCACAAATGCAGACACTCTCCCTGAAGAAGCAGGTAAGCAACAGAAAAAGAACCAGGGATACTCCTCCATTAGATGCCATTCTTTCTCACTTGGGAGAAAAATTTGTAGCTAAAAAATTGATCAAAGACAGAGCAGAATGTGATGTGCCCTGAGTATTGGTTAATAGGATGCTTCAGTTGAAGCATTTCAGAAAATCTTGTTGGTCAGCAAAATACAGTGGGCAAGATGCAGCAATGGTCACTGTGCCACCGTTGGTCAGTCACAGTGATACCAGGGAAAAGCTTGATGATGCAGGGGTAAGCTCGGTGATGTCATAAAGAAGGGCTCTGGAACCGAGAGGTGTCACTTGACCAATCCCCTGAGGTTTCTTAGAATTACCTCTTGTTGCTTTTGGCTAGAATGGTTTGAGCTTCTTCAATTTTCTTAAAGATAAAGAATTTACTAATATTTTGCTGATTAGTAAATTCAACAACAATGTCAGCATATTAATAAAATCTCCTTGGAATGAGTCCCTCATATTCCCTTGGTGTTGTCAGGCTGTGGGTAAGGGGCAAGGGAGATGGCATGGCATGTGGATAGATAAGGTGGCAAGGAAGTGGGCATGTGACAAAATGGTGGCCTTCAGTCCTTGCCTTTATGGAGCGAATGGTCTATAAGTAAGAGGAAAACCAAGATGATTTCAGAGACAGAGTAAGAAGAGAGCTACATAAAACTATAACAGGCAGCATTGAGCTCTACCTGGGACAATTAGGAAATTTCACAAGAGTGTTATTTGAGGGGGCCTTGAGGAATGAGTAGAATTTTGGTAGGTGGCCAGGCAGAGAGGACATCTCAGAATTACCAGGAAATAAATGTATTTATTTATTTATTGTGGTACTGGGGATTTAGCCCAGGCATTCTGTACTAAAATGTGAAAGGAAAGAGATAAACTGAGGGAACAACTATTAAGCACAAAGGAAACGGCTTGATGGTTTGGGAAATTCCCAGCCAATCCAGATTGCAAAAGGTACTGCTGTCATTTGGAAAGTGTCCCCCAAAGGCCTGTGTTCAAGGCTTGGTTCCCAGCTTGGTGCTATTGGGAATTGGTGGAAACTTAAGGGTGGGGACTAATGGGAGAGCTTGGGTCACTGGAGTGTATCCTCGTAGGTGGTAGCAGGGCCACAGCCCCTTCTTCTCTGCGTGTTTGCTCCTGGCCACAAGGTCAATGGCTTTGCTCCACCCATTCCTTGCTGCCTAAGTGACTGTGGCCTGAAACCTTTGGAACTTCGAGCCAAGCCAGACCTTCCCTCTTTATAAGTTGACTATCTCAGCTCTCTTATTATGTAACAGAAAGCTGACTAACACAGGTTTTGAACTTAAGAAAGCCACTGTCAAGAAGTATGTTGGAGAATAGGAGTGTGAATTGTGGATCCTCCCAGCCATCTCTGCAGAAGTCAGGGGTAGAAATGAGATTCTCCATGAAACATCTGTGGAGGAGTCTCATCTCATAGACTGAATCTCTGAGACATGCTGGGAGACTCACAGGTTTTTGAAAATGTTACACCAGCAGAAACTCCAGCTAAGACAAAGGGGCAAAGAGAGGACAAAGTAATAAAGTTACTGTTCTCCCAAAATTCTAAAGAAATAGACTAAGAGGTATTTAGCCGCAAGCACATGCAATTTTTGTGAAAAAGGAAGGATTAGTGAGTGGGTAGAACCTCAGGCCCAGAGGGCAGTCTTAAATCACAGAGGATTATCCCCATGCCTTAAAACCAAGTGGAATTTTCCCTGTGCGTTTCAGAATTGCTTGGGATTGGTGATGCCTTTCTTCCCTCTCTCTGCTCATTTCTGAACGGCAGTGTATATGCCTTAGTCTCTGTCTATCCCCCCTTACAGTTTGGAAGAAGGTAACTAGTTTTCTAGTTTGACAGGTCCACAGACGGAGAGGAGTTCTGCCTTAGGATGGATCATACAAATCTCACCCATACTTTGTTTCGATGATTTGGAGTCTGGGGTTTGAGAGTTTTGAGTTGTGCTATTTAGATAAGGATTGGGATAGAGTTGATGTTGTCATCATTTATAGGGATGTTGGACGGGCAGGAATGTATTTTGGATGTGGGATAGATGTGACTTCTGAGGGAGCAAGAGGGAAGGCTCAATGATGGGTACCACAGATATCCAGGGCCTAATCCCTGGAGTTTGTGGCTACAGCCTCCTCTGGAGGAGGGGTTTTGCAGGTCCTCGAGTTAAGAATCTTAAAATGGGCAGATTATCCTGGATTATACAGGAGGGATTGAAATCTAATCATGGTGGTCTTATAACTGAAAGGCAGAGGGAAATTGACATAGAAGAGAAAGTAATTTGATGGTGGAAGTTGGGGTCAGGTGGTATAATTGAAGACAGATTAAGGGGTCACAAGCCAACAGGTTGGCTTTAGACCAGTGGACCCAAGCTCCGGTTGCTGCCTCTAGAAGTGTAAGGGGAAGAGTCTGTGTTACTTCACGCCACCCAATATGTGGTGGTTTTATGTAGCAGCCACAGAAGACGGACACATCAGCATTTAAATTAATCTGGGACTAATCTAATTTACAGTGTTCAGTGGTTTCAGCTGAGAATATGATAAATCCTTGATTTATTTGACTCTTTTGTTTATCTCAGCAAAGAAATATAACTTTATTTAAACAGGTCTTGCAAATGCTGTGATAACATTGCTATGGGCACTATAGTGAATGTAGTTGTTTTTTTTTTTAAGAGAAAAGCTAGTTTTGAATTTTTGTGGGGGGGATCTAGAGGAGTAAAGCAAGTGACGGAAATATTTTTTTGTTGTTACTTTTGTCAGAAGAGAAATTTTAATAGATATATTCTCTTTGGAATCAGTTTTATGTTTTATATTTCTTTTGTTTTTCAAAAAACTTAGCATAATTTTAGGAAGACATTGAGTGCTCCAAAAACCACAACAAATATTGGACACACAATTTTTACAAAATTAAGATAAGTAATATACTTTATGAAAAGTTATATATATATATATATATTGGTCAGTTAAGCATATATACATATGTGTGTATATATATATGTATGTATGTGTGTGTGTGTGTGTGTGTGTATTGGTACCTGTGATTGAACCCAGAGGTACTACTAAGCCACAACCCAGCCCTTTTTATTTTGAGATAGGGTCTCACTAAATTCTCCAGGCTCTCAGCCTCCCAATTAGCTGGGATTACAGGTGTGTACCACCACACCCTGCTCTTACTGTCTTTCAGATGCAAGGCTGGCTCTGAAAAAATACATGACAAAGGTTACTTTAACAATTACAGACCCAGAAAAGGGACCAGGGAAGCTTCTTAAGGAAGACAAGGTACGGTACTGTGATTGTTTCTTGTTCTGAAAATTCTGAGAATTTTGCCTCACATCTTAATTCACACACTAATGCCGTAGAGACCGGGAGGGAGGGAGGAGGGTGAAGGGAAAGGGGAAAGAAGGCGGAGAGAAGCCTCCTTTGCTTCTGACCTTCATAAACTGGGGACAAGGGACAGACTGAACAAAATGGAATGAAGTCATGTTGAACAGTGACACAGAGATGTGCTAAATATCACCCCTGACAGCTTGGATGAAGGTCAGAAATGTTGAGTGGAAACCACTCACCACAGACCAAAGATATTTATAAAGGAATGCCTACATATGGGGGCAAAACTTTTTTTTTTTTTAAGCAAACAAAAGGATGAGCAAAGATGGTGTTTCTCTCCCGGGGTGGGGGGGCAGGAAGCAAAGCTGGGCTTGTCGTACTGGTAGGGCTCTGTTCTGGTGCAGCCTTGGGGTCCAATGATGTTCATTTCATTATTTTCCTTCAAAACTTAGATGTATATCATACATTTTAACATATATGCATATGCACATATACATTACATATTTTTTAGTGTATCAAATTTTCCATAATGGGGAAAAAAGATACATAGATAGGAAGGTAGCTAACTATGGAGCCAGCCTGCCACCTTGCTATATTTAAATACTGTCTGTGAACTAGTTTATTGATTTGGATGTGTGTTAAATATATGCTGAAGGTATCAGAAATACATTTTGGTTTCAAATTACCTCATGCATTTCTGTGCAGGATGCTCTGACATAATTTATTTAATTTTCTCTGACACAATTTATATGAAAAAGAATTAGCCATTGCTAAGAAGACATCAGCAATTCTGAGAACTTGATAAGTTACACATTGCACTTGAATCTTATAAAACACTCTACAGAATCTCTTGTGAAACAAACAACATAAAGGAAAAATTCTATTGGAATAGCTTCTGGAGCTATTAGATCTGCAAAACAAAACTTTCTTGGCACAAAGGAATAGTGCTTTGTTAGCAATTAGAAAAGTCAGTTTATCAATTTTTTAAAATTTAGTTATCTGAGTTACAAAATGTGTACTCAGAAATCACTAAAAAAAAAAAAAATGAAACAACTAAAACACTTGCTTCAATTTCCAGTCTTCTACCATGTGGATCTCATAATAATTTTGTGCTAATTTCATCATATTTTTTTCTTCACTTATAAAAACATATGCATGTCCATATATAATAGGGATCCATAAGGGATATATATATATATATATATTTTTTTTTAATACAAATGGGATCATTGGGGCTGCAGTCGTGGCTCAGTAGTAGAGCACTTGACTTGCACATGTGAGTCACTGGGTTCAATCCTCAGCACCACATAAAAATAAATAAATAAAATAAAGGTATTGTGTATAAAAAATGTTTTAAAACATGGGATCATACTAGTCATATTATTCTATAATTTGCTTTTCCTCCTCTTAATAATACCCACCCCCCCCCTTTTTTCTGGGTAGAGGGGATTGAATCCAGGGGCATTCTACCAGTGAAACACATCCCCAGCCCTCAAGGTCTCCCTAAGTTGCTGAGGCTGGCCTGGAACTTGCCATCCTCCTGCCTCAGTCTCCCTACTAGTTGGGCTTACAGGGGTGTGAGGACATGCTGGGCTCCTAATAATATCTCATGAAACCTTTCTAAATCCACTTCTGCATCTGTTGCAGAAGTGGATTTAGAAAGTATGGATTTATAGTATGGACAGGACACATCACACACTTATTGAGTTCCCTGTATTATTACAAACCGAAGTGCAATGAACATTTTTCTCTTTCACTTTTTAATTGAATTCTTTGTCACATTGTTCATATTTATGAGGTATGACATGATAAATGTCTTAAGTCAGACACCAAAAGTTTGCTGCATTGTGCAGTGAGGTGGTTTTTACAATGCATGTCAAGAGAGGTTTCCGGTGAGGCGGAGCTTTTCTTGGATGTCATGAACTTCCTCCCCGAGTGAACCATTGGAGAGATCAGCTCCTTTTCTAGCCTTTGCAAACCACTTCTCTTTGTCACAGGGCTTAAAGAAAATAGAGAATTAGGAAGAGAGCACAGGGCTTCTTGCCTCTTGGTGGTGAGTTTCATTAACTCCTATCCCACGATGTGAGAGCTGCACTGTTCAGCTCAGCAGCCACAAGCCACATGTTGCTGTTTAAATTTGAATGATTTAAAATTAAACAAAATTTAAAATCCATTTCCTCAGTCATACTAGTCACATTTCTAGGCTCAACAGCTAGACATCTTTAATGGCTACTGCATTAGCCGACGCAGACGCAGAACCACAGGCCTGGATTGTGCTAGTTTGGGGAGACTATGGGGGGACTGTAGCTCCAAGGTAGAACACAGCGAGGACCCTAGCTCAAGCAAGTGCCTGGTTCCATCCCCGGTACTTCAGGGAAAAAAAGAAAGATTCCTAGAGATACTGTAGAGTTTGATTTTCAACAAATAGGTGGAAAATACAGTCTCTATTTCTATCCCTAGAACATTGTCCTCGGTGCGTGTCGGGCAAAAAACGAGTGGCTGGAAACCCACCCGGACGCGTCCATTGATGAGCTTTTTGAGCAGAAACAACTATTGGAAGATATCGTGACTCCCATCCTTGTAAAAATGACTATGCCACGTAAGTTTGAGGTAAAAGGTGATGCTGACTGTCAAGAAGGATGGAATTAGGTTCAGTGTTGTTATTTCTGAGATGCTGTGATTTTAACAACCCGTTAAGTAGTCATTAACTTTTTACCAGCACTGATCCATGGCACAGTATCATGATGATTCCTGGTATCATTATGAATAAAAACTACTAATAACAACTGAATTCTTTATATAGGAAATGCCTAATAATAATATTGATATGACTATCATCTGTCATTAAGTTTTATGTGATTACTATGCCTTTGATTTTGGCCAGTGATTTCCAAATGTGTAAGGGAGAGAGGGTAACAGAATTTAAAATTTTAAAAAATGTTTTTTTAGCATTTTAATTATGTATTGGAGGAAAATCTGCTGTGGGAATACCATGCTCAAGAGTGGGAAGGTGGTGTATGGGTCTTGGTGGAGGCATACCTGAGATTCTTGCAATAACAGCTTTATTGAGATACAATTCTCCTACCATAAAAGTCAACTTTTTGAAGGGTCCAGTTCAGTGGTTTTCAGTATAGTCAAAAAGCTATATAATTATCACTACTCTCTAATTTTAGTACAAATTTTACTACCCACAAAAGAAACCCTGTATTGTTGGCAGACTCTTCCCATCCCTCCCTCCCAAGCCCTGGCAAACACTAATCCACTGTCCATATATCTGTGGATTTGTCTGTTCTGAACATCTCATAAATAGAAACAAACTATGTGTTGCCTTTTGTGGCTGACATCTGTCACTTAGTGTGTTTTTTAGGTTCATCCACGTTTGGACATGTGTCAGTACTTCTTTCCTTTTTACAACTGAAAACATTCTGTGTATGGATACAAATTTAATCCATTCATCAGTTGATGGACATTTAAATTTCCACTCTTTTTTCTTATTAAAATAATGCTGCTGTGGGCTTTTATGTATGAATTTTTGTGTGGGCACACGTTTTCAGTTTTCTCTGGTATATAAATAGAGGTGGACTTGCTGGGTCACGTGGTAGCTGTGTCTGAGCTTTTGAGGAGCTGCCAAACTGTTCCATTTTACAACCCCACCAGCAGTCTCCAATTTCTCCATCTTGGTCTTTTTGTACATTTTAGCCATCTTGAGGAGTGGTATCTTACCATAGTTCTGATTTGCGTTTAGATAATTACTAATTATCTTTTGTGTGTTTATTGGCCCTTTGTATATTTTCTCTGGAGAAATGTTTAATTCTTCATCGTTTAAAGTTGGTTTGTCTTTTTTTTTTTTTAGCATATACTTGCTTTATACCTTTATTTTATTTATTTACTTTTATGTGGTGCTAAGGATGGAACCCAGGGCCTCGCACATGCAAGGCAAGTGCTCTACCGCTGAGCCACAACCCCAGCCCCTGTCTTTTTATTATTTATTTATTTTTGTTGATACTGAGGATTGAACCCAGGGGTGCTTTACCACTAAGCTACATCCCCAGTCCTTTTTATTATTTAGTGTAAGAGTTCTTCATATATTTTGGATACAAACCCCTTATCAGAAGTATGATTCTGATATCTTCTCCAATTCTGAGGATTATCTTTTCATTTTCTTAACTATATCTTTTAAAGCATGAAAGATCTTAATTTTATGAAGCATAATATATCTATTTTTTCTTTTGTTGGTTTCAGTGTCATATCTAAAAAACTGTTGCCTAATCCACGGTTACCAAGATTTAATTCTACTTTTTCTTCTAAGAGTTTTTAGTTTTAGTTTCACATTTAGTTCTGTGAGCCATCTTGTGTGGGTTTTTCTTTTGTTCATGATGTGAAATGGAGTTTCATTCTTTTACCTAAGATTTTTTTATATTTATCAAAAGTTGTGGATTTTAACAGGTCAGGACCCTGCACCTCCTCTAGGTGATGTGGCAGAATATTTCTTACTGTCATTAATTAACACCTAGTTAGCATTCAGGTAGCACTGTCCTTGGGACCCTGAAGGGAGACAGAGTCTTTGGAATGTCCCCTAGTTTGTAGGTAACACACATACATCTGAAAAAAGTGAAGTAAGTGCTATATGTATTCAGAGAAGCCGAAGCTGGAGAGAAAGCATCATGAAGCAAGAGGAATTGTCCCCTTGAAGCCAGGGTGGAGGGATATGAAGGGACTTCCAGAATGGAAGCCCAGCAAGGAGGAAAGCTCTAGAGGGGAGCAGAGGGGAGCCCATGCCCAGCTGCTCCGTGTCATCCCTTCAGGACAACAGGAGACAAGGCTGCAGCGTTCACTCTTGATCATTTTATTAAAACTGCTGTAGGAAGGGGTTGGGGCTGGGGCTCAGTAGTAGAGGGCTCTCCTAGCAAGTGTGAGGCCCTGGGTTCAATCCTCAGCACCACATAAAAATAAATAAATAAAATAAAGGTATTGTGTCCATCTACAAGTAAAAAAAAAATATTTAAAAAAGTATCTGCTGTAGGAAGCTTAGATGTTTGGGCTTTATTTTCTGGGCAGTGGAGTGCTGTTAAATAGGCTTTGGTGTAAAGAGAGAGGAATTAAATAGGGGAGAATATAGTACAGAGACTAGTACAGTCCAGGAGTGGGTGGATTAGACCTCAATTGCTACGTGTTCCACCACTGCCCCTGGCATGGCCCAAACCCTCCCCTGCAGTAGGATCACCTCTCTCCCCTGGTTTACATCCCCCAAGGAGCACTTCCATGTCATAGAATGTGGGATCTTGATGGGTCCCCTAAATGGTCTTCATTGCACATGAAGAAACGGAGACAAGAGAGGTTCACAGAGTATGCAAAATGACTAGTCAGCCGCCAAACTGGGGAGGCTAATGCCAGTGATATGGGAAATGTGCCTCCCTGCTTTGCATATTTGAAAAACAAAGGAGGAGAGAGTATTCAGTTGAGGTACCAGCCGGGACCTAGTGACTTCCTCCTTGCTCATTTTTAAGAAACTGGCTTCATCTGTTTTCTGCCACAGCTAATTAAATGTAATTTTAAAATCTGCTTCCTTTCAGGTCAAGTGAAAAGTGGCAAATCTGTAACCTAAGCGTGGTCAGAAGAGAAGTCAAGCTCACGCTTTCTACGGAACGTACATTTTATTTCTAGTATCAAAGATAAACCTATGGATGCCACTTGGGTCAAGTAACTGGATATGGGGTTTTATAAAAATGCTCGGGTACAAACTCAGTCATCCTTGCTTTATTCCCCTGTGGGGCCTGCTGACTGCAGACTCTGGCCTCGCCCCTCTCCTGCAAGCTCAGCTCCACGGCTTTCAAAGGCTCCTTCCTTCAGGAACTCACTGGGTAGAAATCATTCACGAAGACATATGGAGGCTTTGAAAACCACTTAGAAAACTTAATAATTTTGTGTATAACTGAAACAAGAAATTTTTATCAACTGGGGAATTCCATCTAAAAAAGATAGTTATTCCCAGAGGCGGGAAATGTTCTCCCTCTCTCAGAAGGAAATCTTAGCGTGGTATGGTGGTGCATGCCTGTAATCCCAGTAGCTCAGAGGCTGAGGCAAGAGGATTGAAAGTTCAAAGCCAGCCTCAGCAACTTAGTGAGGCCCTAAAACAAGTTAGAGACACCCTGTCTCTAAATAAAATACTTTTTTAAAAAGGGCTGAGGATCTGGCCCAGTGGTTAAGCACCCCCTGGGTTCAATCCGCGGGTACCAAAAGAAACATCTATGGGAAGACATTTTTGAGCAAGGAAATAGTAATTGTTTGGATCAGGGTCCTTTAGTATTACTTTTTATTTACAAATTAAAATTCACCTGTAAGGTGAGATATAGTCTCTGAGTAAAATCCCTGTTTATCTTTAACTTCTTTGTATTTTTAGATTAATAAACACGCATCTGTGTAGTTTTATATTTAGAAGCGCTCCCTATTCTGTAGGTTCGGCAGCATAGAAATAATGGAACGCCATACCAGTATCCCTCCTGTTCTGTTTTATATTTCCTATATTTTAACTGTCATACTTGGTTTCCCATTGGAGATTGGAAAATCTTTTTTTTTTCTTATTTTTTTATTTCTTTATTCAATGAAGCCCCTGAATCTTCTATTTCCTTGTGACCTTCAGGGAAATTTTAATAGAAAAGAAAATGTTAACCAAAAAAAATCCCATTTATTCCTTGCTCTTGTGACTTTTTCCTCTTTGTCTTGCTCTGAAAGCTAGTTTTTCCATTTTAGGAAGAAGGAATATAAATGAGCAATTTGGTAATGTTTTTCCACTCAACATTTTCTCAACCATGATTTTGAGATAACTTTTAAATGTCTCCTAAATTTTTAAAATTTGAGATGATTTTATGCATGAGCGCTGCAGTTCCAGTTTCCTTGAGCGACAGCACAGGGCGATGTCCCCATTTCTGGTGGGCTCCCAGGGGTTTACAGAACAGCACAGAGGAGCTCTGTCTGCTCCACTCTGTCCACATGGTGTCTGTAAGCACTGCAATAATCCGGGGAGAGCAGGCGGGTATTTTCGTTGTTTCTGTTCTAACTCTGCTTTCGGAGCTTGATCCTGAGGACAGCACCTCTCTCCAGGTGCGTGTTCCTGGGGAGTAGAGGGAATCCTGGGTCTAACCTCTGGGATTCTGAAAGAACACTGAAGCATTTCTGGAAACCCCCTAGAATAAAATAAACTCCTCTTTCCCCCCCTTTTTTTTGTTTCTCAGTCTTTATCCTTAAACCTTTTGTAGCTTTTGATAGATTTGCTAATGCTCGATTTATAAAACTCTTTGTATCGGCACCTTTATGCCAATCACGATTCCTGTTCTTTCTTACAATCTGCCTTTCCACCCCCTTCACCACCTCCTCTTCTTTATCTTGCCCAGCCGTGGGAACCTCTCAGAATTCAGTCCTGACCCCTGGTGAAGCATTTGTAATTCTCTGCCCCATCACCCTCCCTGTCCCCAGTATTATAAGGAACTAATGAGGCGGGTAGCCTCATTCTGTGTTCTATTCAATTGTTCACACTTTTATCTCTGCAAGTGAATTCAGAGCTTTTTGAAGGGAGAGACTGTGTTCTTCCTTATACCCAAAGAGCTGTAAGATCGTAAATTAGTAAACAGTAGGTGAATGAAATCACCGTTAACACGACCTTTTTCTTAGAAGAACTCATGAGCTCTTCATTCATCTCCGGAGCTTCTTGTCTTTATAAATGACTCCCAGACCTTTTCTCCATACCTTGCTTATGCCTGTGCTCCATTTCAACTCCTCCTCCTCCAACAGTACGGGTCACACACATCCAGCATTGTGACTCTAGTCTGGTTTCTGCTGCGACCTGTTTCCTAAGTTTTTTCTGGAGTGTCCTATCTTTTAGGCATGTGAACCCAGTGACACCAAGGGATTCCTAGGTCTCATTTCCAGGATTCCTTTGATGTGGGGATCTGAACATTTATTCATCTCTATAGATCTATAACTTTTGTCTATTTGGAGAGGGGGTATTTCTTGTTGCCTGTTGTTGTGCTGAAGTATAGATAGATCTGTGGACGAGTTAGAGTCCCTTGTGCTTTCAGTTACAGTTACCCGGGTAGCTGCATGTCTTTTCCTGAACTTCAAGAGTAATTACTACTTCAGAGTACATACTAACAACTCAAGAGAGCCTCCACAGTATTTGAGAGGCATTCTGTTAGGATAAATTCTAGATAGTGGTTCTTTAGACTTTTGTGTTTCATTGATCAGAAAAATGTAAAAAAAAAAAAAGGTGGGGGAGGAGATAGATATGATGTCATTAAGAAAACAACTACTGCCTATACTACTTTCATTTAATAAAACACATTTAACATCAGAAAAGTTGGGGAGATTACCCTTTAGATTGAATAAATTAAGCTTTATTTTAGAACTTTATGTTAGATTTCTTGTTGTCATTTTGCCATGTACAATGGAACTTCTGTTATGAGTCAGAACTGACGTGTGGTCCAGCCTTTGAGAATTGCTGCTCTAGACTAAGCGAAGCAGTTGGACTGCTAGTTAGGCTCTCATGGTGCTCCAAGTTGTGAAGGACTGGCAGTTGCCTCAGTGTTCAGTCTGATACGTGGTGGACCGTGCTGGCTCCAAGACGGGCCCTTCCCCCTTCTCATGTGCTGTTCTTGCCTTGTGATTGTGAGAGGAAGGGGTATCTGTCCTCTCCTGGTGAATCTGGGCAGGCCTGTGACCACAGTGAAAGTGATTATATGTGCTCTCCAAGGCTAGATCATAAGCGGTGACATGGCTTTGGCTTAGTTCTCTTAAGATGCTTGCACTTAGAAACCAGCCTGTGGAGAGGGCCACACGGAAAAGAACAGAGGCCTCAGGCCCCAGCCCCAGGCCACAGCCCCCTCCAGGCAGCCACCTTCCCCAACTTGCCAGGCATGGAAGAGAGTCATCCTGGAAGTGGATTCTTCAGTCAAGCCACTGAACTGATGCTGAATGCAGCAGAGACCAACTTTCTCAGCTGAGCCCTGCCCAACTTGCAGATCTGTGAGCTAAATAAATGATAGTTGTTGTTTTAAGAGGCTCAGTTTTGTGTTCTTTTATTGTAAGCAATAAAACATGCACATTTTGGAAACTGGAAGTGAGAAATTGACAAAACAACACCTAAAACATGTGACATTGGTTTTGGGATTGCATGGTAGATAGAAGCCAGAAATTTCCAGGGTGGGGTCTGAGCGAAAGCCTACCGGCCTTGAGTGGAGCTTTTACAGAAGTCTTCAGGGCCTCTAGGAGGCTGCCTGGGGGAGTTTATAGGAAAGGGGAAAATGTATTAGGAGCTGGAGAAAAGGGCCTTGTTATGAGATGAGTGACCACACTGTTGTTGAAGTAATGAACCCTGATCCTGCCAAGGACTTTCTGGACAGCACGCCAGTGCCCCCTGGCTGCTTCTAAAATGTGAGAGAAGAGAGAGGAGTTGAAGAGAAGGAACATTTCAGCTTTCAAATGAACTTTAAAAGAAATATAGAGGGGTCAGTGCTTATTGGGTTTGAAAATAAAGTTGCTTCTCATTCTCTCAGACTAAGAATTGAGTTCTGGGAAAATATCAGATCTGGGGTGAGGGGACGTGGTTGGGTGGTGGTTTATAAGGTTATCTGCTGAGACCTCAGAAATTCCTAAGATGGTGCCACAGAGTTTTCAGGTGGGCTTTTTTCAGGGGAACTGGGAAGATGGTCTCTCAGAACTACATGAAAGCCAGGGCTGACTCTAAATCTCCTCCATGTTTTCCCAAGGTATGGAGATTTGGAGAATCTGAGCTCTGAAACTTGAAATCACAGGAGTCTCACCCACGGGTTAGGTGGACTGAGTGAGCCTGAGGGGACCAAGGCGGGACAGGAACTAGATGAGAACCTGACAGGGCATTAGTCAGAATGACCTGAGGCAGTGCAGCCGAGGAGAGAGTCTTAGTGCTGAGAGAGATGACGGTGACAACCTGCACAGATGAGGTGGGGGTGTGAGTGGGGGACAGCATCGAGAACTTGGAAGATGGGTGAGTTAAGTAAAGGCAGATGGGCACGTAAAGGAATAGGTCTCAGGAGACAGCTGGGAATAAGACATTAAAAAAAAGAAAGACCTCTTGGGAGTAAAAAAGGTGGTGAAATGAGATGGACATCATTACCCTAAGTACATGTATGAAGGCAGGAATGGTGTGAATCTACTTTGTATATAACCAGAGATATGAAACGTTGTTTTCTGTATGTGTAACATGAATTGTAATGCATCCCACTGTCATATGTAACAAATTAGAATAAAAAAATGACCTCTGACATTTACAGCAAGGAGGGGTCCAGGGGTTTAAAAGAACAGACCCAAGTCAACCGAACAAGTCTGTATAAAATAGAAAGTTGTAGAGAATATTTGGGGGGTTGCTGGGTGGATGCCAAAGTGGTGGTTATATTCAGGGACAGGTACAGAGCTGTCAACTGAAATTCTATTTAGTCTCTAGGAACTGGGGCTTTGTCATTTTCCTTAGTACCTAAGTGCTAGAGAAGACTGAGGGCAGAGTTTGTGAGCTTCCTGCTGTGATGTTCTCCTCAGTCCCCCAGGAGAGGGTACACGGCACAGGCACAAAAGTGGACTTTGCTAGTTGCCAAGTTCAGCTCTTCTTGAAAGTTACCTATAAAATGAGGATTAATGTTGATTTAAAAAACATTTATACTAGCCAGGTGGCGTGGCCCATGCCTGTGATCAATCCCAGCAGCTGGGGAGCTTGAGGCAGGAGGATCACCACTTCAAAGCCAGCCTCAGCAACTTAGATACTGTTCTGAAATAAAGTATAAAAAGGGCCCTTGAGTTCAATTCCTGGTATCAAAAAACCAAACCTAACCCAAACAAACAAAACCCAAAACCCAAACAACAACAACAAAACATTTATACTATATTTGTTTTTATTTAATTAGAGGCAAAAAACAGAGATCACAAAATTGGGGGATGCATTTGTTCTCCCACAGAGAATGGGTGATATTGTTTCTTTAAAGACCAAAAGCAAATGAGGAATAGGAGGGAGGAAAAAGGAAATGTGAAATATTGAACGGGAAGG